AGTAACCGTATTTGAGGAAATTTCAGTTATCAGCCTAAGAATGCCGATAGAAGAAAACTGTTTCAGTTAGTCAAAGTTATATAATATGGAAACGCATTTCGGTGTATCATTGTGCTGGTTTTTATCATTTTTTCTCTTCATTTTCCCGCCATGCTCTTCTTGTTTCCTCATTTCAGGCACTAACACAACAGCTCTGGCTGGATTCAGGGCATGCAGGTGCTTAGAGAACTACTTTCGCTTGGATCGCTTTGGTTCATGTACGGTCTGCCCTGGTCAGGGTGTCGAATGTTCCAACGACACACAAAATTTGTCTCCCGGGTTTTACTGGTCATGGGCGAGAAGTGGAAGTAACTCCGATAAGTACTTTTACAAACTCCTTATCACTAATTTGGCGATAGAAAGCGACAGCTACGACAACGAATCAGTGAAATACGTTGGTAGAGTTCCAAAAGCCTACAAATGTATTCGTCAAGACTCCTGTCTTGGAGGAATTGATTCCGAATGTGCAGAGGGCTATGCTGGACCTCTGTGTGCCAACTGCCAATCAGGATTCTATAAACGGATGATCGTGTGTCACAGGTGTCCTTCAAAGAAGCTCATTGCCATACAGTTTGGAGTATTGGGCTTCATAGTACTTGTGATCATCTTAGTTATCGCCAAGAGCGAGAAGTCTTCAAAGCCAGGGAAGAGAACCGTAGCTGACATCTTTCTTGCTCACGTAAAGATTGTTATCGGGTTTTATCAGGTTTTGGCTGGCTTACTTCAAGCGTTTTCGTATGTCAAGTGGCCTTCCGAAGTTTCTGTCCTTGAAGGTTACATCAAGTTTGTCCAGCTTAACGTCCTACAGATTGTTTCCCCAAGTTGTGTCGAAAAAAGCTTCGAAATGAATGCTTATAGACATTTCGTTTTCACATTGGCTGGAAATGTGCTGAGTGTCACTGTTCCCCTGTTTTGGTACCTTGCGAGGGTAACGTGGATGAAGGTAAAACAAAAACAACACGACGAAAGTCATCTCATTGACATCAAAAAGTCTTGCCTCAAAATTATAGTATTTCTGTTATTTGTTGCGTATCCGTCTACTTGTGTCAACATTTTTCAGATTCTCCCCCTCTCTTGTCACAAGTTGTGTCCATTTGAGGGAGCTTCTAACTGTCCATCGTTCCTAAGAGCTGACTATTCAATTCTGTGCGACACAGATACGCATAGGAAATACACTTGGGCAGCGTATGCCTCTTTAACATACGTAATTGGCTTTCCTATTTTTCTGGCGTACATCGTTTGGAAAACCCACCTTCAGTCTCAGAGATCCAACAGATTCTCCCTAGCCGATGAAAGAGGCAACATGGAAGCAGTGGCGTTTGCCATTTTGTTTTTGCATGAAAATTACTCACCAAGTTGCTGGTATTGGGAAAGTGTGGAAATGGCACGAAAAGTGATCCTGTCGGCTGGTGTTATCTTTGTAGGATCTGAAAGCCGCACGCAAGTCGGTATCGCTGCCATGGTATCGGCTGGATTTGCAATGCTCCATGGGAGGTTTAGACCAATAACTGACAGATTTGAGGATTATTTGCAAATGACGTCCCTCTTGGTGACGTCATTCAACCTTGGAATAGGTGTGCTGCTGAGGGTGCCTTCAGACGAAGCAAGTGAAAGTCGTGATAACGTCGGCCTCGGAGTTTTGCTGTTGGTGACAAATGCATTGGTAATAAGTATTGTGTTAGGTGAGATAATTAACTATATTGATATTAGCTTTAAATGTAGTCGATTAATTTCAACAGTAAGCAATTATTGGACGAAGCAGAGTACAGTGTATGGCATAAAAAAATTATGCAGTCATTCCAAACGCTGTCTTGTCCAGATAACCAGATTTCCTACCTAAATCTTGAATGTAACAGTCTCTTTTAAACGCGAATAAATCTACTAGCAGTTATATTTCAATACTAACAACCATTCAGTTCTGTATTCAGCACGGTCTAACAACATGCCACAAGAAAGTGCTCACTTTTTGAAATTTTCAAGACATATTGACAGAGTATGGCTACGTACTTTATAATTTATATAAGTATCTAGTTTTTCAATGCGGCATAATACTTTGCAAATATACAGAGCACACTACGCTAGTCGCTTGTAATTACTCAACAGATCTAGTAATATTGGGAGTACTTAAGTATTTCTACGGATCCCAACCGTATGTAAAAGACCTTATGACGCATTTGAAGGCCATCTTGACGGGTAGGATACAGCGTCAGAAATTAGTGTTTGTACGGGGATCTAATGGTAAATAATTTTCTTGAAAACTGAATTCTAATCAACTTATGAGCAGCAATCAAAGGATATAGTTTGCTAGAAGCTCCCAAATTCGCGATCGGACGCTTTCTAGCACGGCTACATTGCTCAAGGCAATCTTTTATTTACCATCGGATTCCCATACAAGCACTGCAATTTCTGACGCGTGTTTCCTACCCGTGAAGATGGCTTCCAAAACCATGACAAAGTACCTGCCTTAAATTAATGGCGTTGAAGTTGAATTTTCCTTATTGCAGTACGTTATTTGGTCGTCTTTTTTGGCCTGGCGATGGATTTCCGCAAAAATCCCCGTTTCAGCTGGCATTGCCTGTTTCTGTTGATAACCACAGCACAGGAAGTGCAAGGAGATGTCAGCGACGGCAATTTACAGGGAGCTTCAACGCAAGCAGTGACAAGTGGATCGGACTTTGAAATACACACTGCTGTCACTGCCGTGAACGAGTGCATCGACATCGACTGTGAAATCAATGTTCAGGATGACCCCTCTGCACAGAGAACGGAAAGCTATACAGACCAGCCTGTGAAATCAAAAAAAACTTAACTACGTTTGTACACGGGAGCAGACAAACTTTGGAATATTGAAATATTTTAAATTGAACATACCAAGGTCAAAATCTCGACTAGTCGGTTATTTCGCAATCCCACTTTAAGCCTGGTTTTCACTACGACATAAGCAAAAGCATGCCTGCGCAAGCATAACCGTAGTGAGGACGCGCACAACACGAGCATAAGCACAATCACAAGCAGAACAAACGTTTTTTTTCTTATTGTGCTTGCGCTTATGCTTATGTCAGGCGAAAACGCACTTTTGTAAGCATCATCATAAGCGAAAGTCCGCCATCTTGTTACGTTTTACTATATCGAAGAGGTATGGAATCGAAACTGAATAAGGCAATTTCCACTGTACGCATGCCTACGTGCTTACGCTTGTGCTGTGGGCGTTCTCACTACCGTTATGTACATTTATGCTTCTGCTGGTGCCTATATGTTTTAGTACAAACCAGGCTGTACTTGTAAAAATCGCCGCATGCTACAATTCATTTGTTTTGTTTTAAAACTTCCTTAAAAAGCACAGGTAAAAACCTAGACTTTATACAACAATATTAAAGTAGCTGTAGGGAGATATTCTCATAGTAATACAAAGTTTTGAAAACTATGTTTAGTCAACCTTTGTAGCTAACAAAGTTGTAAACGAAATTACGCTCTTCTTGACACTCCATATCAAAGGCCCAAGAACAGATGTTCAAAGTTTAACGTCAATCAAACCTGGGACTTTGATAACTTATTTGCTATTTAGCAATTACATTTTCGCTCTCAGTTTCTTTGACGTGATTGTTGATAGGGACGAAAGTTTTTTCTACAATTTCGAATTCTTAAAGTCAAGAAAACTAAAATCTCCTTGTCTTAGTTATTTTGGACCTTAAGGGCCTATTTCGCGCGCTTTGCTAAGGAAGTGAAATATCATTTCCGGCTACTTCCGTCAGCGCTAGCCTAAGCGCGGAAAATGTAAGTAATTTAATAAGGGGAGATTATTACAGGGTCTTTGAACTGAATTCAAACAGTTAAAGAACTAGTGAAACCAAGTACATGGTGAATGTTTTAGCTCTCTGGGTGTAGTTGTCTTTCAAAAACTTTTCTGAGTGGCAAAATCACTAATGAGCTCTTATATTCTTTGGAAAATTTTGAACTTTTAAACCCGCGCCGCACAAAAAGTATTCTGTCTAGAATCAGGAAAACCTAACAATATATAAAAAGATAAAGTATTTCAACGCCTGTTAATATTCAGGGATTAGTGAATTTACTGTCAGTTTATGGGAACTAGTACTATCCACGGTTTTTAAAACTGATTCATCTTACCTAACACGATCATATCACTATGGTTTCGCGCAAATAGAAACTTAGCCATTTTCCTTGAATAACGTCATTCTAAAACGTTTCATGTGAGCATGATGTGATTTGCATAAACATTTCATATGAATGGTTTCTCGCTTGTGAAGAGGTGGCCTTAAGTGGAGGTTCGACTGTATTACACTAAAGGGACACACCTGAGAGTCCTTATTATAATAAAGGCTGTCCGTGCCGGCATCACAGTTTTATATTTGGAAATTTTAGAATACAAAGTTACTTGAGAAGAAAAAAAAGAAACACTTTCAGGCCCGAAGTCCTTTCTTTTAAAATATTTATCAGCAGGTGAATGGTATCCTTTCAGACATTATTGTGATCCCACAATTTCCTTTCAATTAATTTGAAGAAAACCTCGAAATGATAATGCTTATACCAAAGTTGAAAAAAAATTCAAGCAGAGTTCAAATGATGATTCTTGACGTTCGCTGCTATCGCTATAATCGATGAAATTGCTGAAAAGATATCGAGCGAAGATTTTTAAAATAATTTTATAATTTAGCTCCTGTTCGAATGCCATAACATGAAACTCTTAGGGGACAAATGATTTCTCGGTTTCGTGGTATACTGGTTTTGTCAATGTAACGTTAACATTTACTGAACTGGAATGAAAAATAAACGTGCCATCTTCTATAGTTCTTTTTTTTAAACCAAAATGAATAGTTTTTATTGCTTATTTCATGCTGTAAAGCACGTTTAATCATTCCTGTGAAGTTTGCTCAATATATTTTTTAAATTATTATTAGTAATAATTATTGTTTTTGCCCGCCAGCCCCTATAATAATGACAAACGCACATGCTTATTTTCATTTCAATAGAACTCATTTTAAAAATAAACGTTTTACATTTGGTTTTGTTAAGAAGCCAACCCGAGGTCTACAGCAAATCATGATCTGTTACATACTTGGACCTACCATATCTATTGATTCAGCTCGTCTTTCATAATGTAATGCCGGGAGTATATGCAAAAACGAGAACTTTTCATATCTCATTTTATTTCGCATATATTACAGATGCCTGTTGCTATACGATGATTCGAAAGTAAATTATCAACTTGTGAAACATCTTTAATTTGAAATTTATCTTACCATTGTGATGAGTCCGGAGTGTTCTTTAGCATGTGATACATTGAGAGCTATAGTAGCAGCCAAAACTTAAGGAAGCGCTGATGACAGGTGTCACTCTATTCAAAACGTTTAACGGGATTTGTTCTTGAGGATGCGTGTAGCTGGGGTGAACGGGAACACAGTAGTTGTTTACTGATTCAAATTTGATTTACGTTTTTAGAGCTGCACTTTTCACCCTTAAACCCGAGCCATACTCGTGCTTATATATGGGCGTTCTCAGAGACTCACGGTGGCTGAGTACATTTCTTCAGACTTCAGTGAACTTGAACGGAGATAGGCTGTTTACCAAATTAGAATAAGGGCGCGATTTTGATTTGCTTCAAGATATTTCAACTCGATTAATTTACAGTCCTTTAACGTCCTTGATGGTAAACAGCATTCCAAGTTGACCCATTATTGTGTCTTAACGAACTTAAAGCGTTTTGCTGAATCGAAAACATTCAGGTTCCAGGAAATCTCTTGCGTTTGTTATGACAACCATTCACTTGTTGTTTACATTAAGGAAATACACGCGATGACAAACTAGTTAAAACTAATTAAACAAACCAACTAATTAAACAAAGTTAACGCGCAATGGTTCGAAAACGTCTAAAAACAGTTTTTATGCGGTGGACATTAAGTTTCTACTGATAGCAGTGAATTGACGGGATTCTAATTAATGACAGCCTTTTACTTTCGCCATTGAAATTGATTTGTCTCTGGTTCGTGTATAATTATTGTGTTATTTGCGCCCAACACATTGACATAGATTTTCGATTTTCACAAAGGGAAATACTGCGAGTTCGAGCATGAAACTTGGCATGGTATATCTTTAATAATGAAATTTTAAGGGTATAAAGTAAAATAATCGGAAAGTGAGGTACCAAATGCATTTTTTGCTGTTAAACATGACCTATATTTTGCCGTTATTTTTCACACGCTTCATAGCTGTTTTTAAAATGGTTCGGAAAACCACTATATCAACATATCTGAGAT